CTTCTCTTCTCTTTATTTTATCTCTCATTCTTTTCTTCTCTCGCTTGTCCCACTGAAGGCCAGGGTCCCTCGAAACGGCACGCCTTACTGCAACCACGGAGTAGCAGCCTCGAGCGAAGCTCCATCCACAAACGGGGACTGGCACTTCAAGGACCGCATCGACGATCAACCCCACCAGGGAGTATCATCTGGCAACCTCCGCTCCTCCGCTTCCTCTTCTGTTATATATCAAACCGGTCCACCCGTGTCCCTGGGGCGTCACTGCTACCTCTACAACCCCAACCTTTATATCAATCTTCTTTTCCCTCGTTGCTACCCCTTGGTATTCACCCACACTAGCTTCGTTCTGAGGAGGAGCTTTGTAAACATTCTTGTCTTGTGCATCTTCACGTCGCCTATAACCACCAACGACACCTTTCCTATCTTTTGGCATTCTGTCTATGCGCTCGGCCCACGGACTCGCCATATAATCTTTATCGACGGCTTCGCCATAGCAACAAAATACTCGCCATCGTACCCACGCACAATCGTTCCCAGGAGGGCAGGCCTCTTCCCATTCACATCGATAGCGACTTCGATACGCCTCTAGTTCAGACCGATGCCGCCCGTGCTCCGTGTCTGATCTACATTCCATCCGAAGGCGAAAAGCACCGGCGAAACGCAACTTCTTCAACTGACCCAGGCCATACACACCACAGGACGGCCGATCGACTGATGCGCATCTAGGATCCAGACCTTCTCTCGTCCCAGCCACGGCAGAGGTTTCCGAGACGCACTCCCGCTGTCCACAGACAGGGGTTTCGGCCGGAACTCGTCAGGAGAGGACTTCGGTCACCATAGCACCCCTACCAGTAACCAGCGACGGCCACACCTTCCCAATGCTCGTGTCCAGGCAATGCGAAGCTGAGCAAACCCACCACTGGAACTTCTACAAGCCCGTCTCCAGTCCACGCATGTCGACCCAGTACGACCCCCCGTTGTCGACACAGCCGGACTGGCAAGGCCACTACTCGTCGTTCCTCCCGCCGGGGGACAATATCTTTGGGCAGTCGTACGAGAATGTGGCGAACCCGAGCGCCGGGTCGCAGCACTCGCAGTCGCAGCAGCAGCAGCAGCAGCAGCAGCAGCAGGCCGCGTCGGCCTCGCAGCCACGCACGGCGGTCGGCGTCGAGGGCGCCAGCGGCGACGTGGACGGCGCCGACAGGAAAGTGGGAGCTTACAGCAGCAGACACAGCAGCAGTAGCGTGTCTCCACTAAGCCACCGCCGGAGCCTAGACCCGCTGGGGCTCAGGCAAAAGCAGCCGTCGCCCATCCCGGAGCAGTCGGAACAGCAGGAGGACCACTATGTGCACAAGGCGGATCCCATCCGGGAGGAGGCTGTTGCAGAGGCTCTGTCGATAAAATCCCTCAACCACGCCATGCAGTCTCCTACCAGCAGCGGACAGCAGCAACAGCAACAACAACAGCAGCAACAGGAGGCCCAAGCAGGCAGTGCCGGCAACAGCGATAACCATGCAGCGGCCAAGGAGGAGGAGGACGACGGACTCGACGACGAGGACATGTTGGAGGGTGATGGCGACGGAGAGGACGGCGGGGATGGCTCGTCTCAACCCCAAACGGCAGCCGAGAGGACGGCCCAGCGGAGGAAGATGAAGCGCTTCAGGTATGGACTGACTGGATTTGGCTGTCTGCACTGGCTTGCGCCGACTTGGCGCACATGTCGTCTCTCATCTAACCATGGATGGCTGTTGCCCACATTAGGCTCACGCACCAACAAACCCGGTTCCTGATGAGCGAATTCGCGAAACAGCCGCATCCCGACGCGGCGCACAGGGAGCGGCTGTCACGGGAGATCCCCGGCCTGAGCCCAAGGCAGGTCCAAGTCTGGTTTCAGAACCGGTACGTAGCCTGGCCCAACTGTTCATTTTGACTTTGTCGAGGCCCCCTTTTGACTTGCTGACACGATGCGTTACCACTGGGTGAATCAGGCGCGCCAAGATAAAGAGACTTACGGCCGACGACCGGGACCGCATGATCAAGATGAGGGCCGTCCCGGACGACTTTGACAACGTCCAGGCGCTGCACTCGCCCTACGGCGCCGTGCACGGGCTGGGCACGCCCATAAGCTCGCCCGTCGACTTTGCCGGCTCGTCGTACGCCGAGCACATGATGCGGCCGCTGATGGTCGACGTCCGACGCCCCGACGGCGGCGACGACCACCTGTCGCCCACGGGCCTCAGCCCGGCCTTTGGCAGCATCGGCTTCAACCCCTCGGCCGCCGCCATGGGCAGCTCCGACATGCTGTCGCCCCTGTCGCCCACGGCCGCGAGCGACCGCTACGGCTACCCGGGCCACCTGTCGTCGCCCCTGAGCGCGACGCCGCGCACGTCGAACCCGTTTGCGCGCCAGGGCAGCCTGGACGCGAGCATGCAGCTGCACGGCCACCACGCTGCCCAGCAGCACCAGCACCAGCACCAGCATCAACACCAGCACCAGCACCAGCGCCAGCAGATCCGGCCGCTCCAGCCGCTGCAGCTGCGCGAGACCATGTCGCGCTCGCGCTCCGACAACCTGCAGTCGCCGCTGCGGTCCAGCATGTCGTGGAAGGGCGACTCGATCGACTATTCCACCTTCCACCAGGGCGCCACGAGCCCGCAGCGCCACCACTCGCTCTACCAGTCGTCGGCCGACGGCAGCCTCACGGGCTCCTCGACCACGACCCTGGGCAGCGCCGGCTACGAGTCGGGCAGCAACTACTCGGCCACCACGGCCCACTCGCCCACCCACCTCGCCTACCCGGCCTTCCAGTCGGGCGGCCTCCACTCGGGCGCTGCCGCCCAGCAGAGCCGCACCGGCAGGCTACGTGCCGCGTCCGCCTCGAGCACCATGCAGCCTCTGAGCCTGGACCTGAGGAGCCAGTACCGGGGCCTGCCGCAGTCGTCGCCCTCGTCGTCGCACTCGGCCGGCGGTGCCGGCGCATCGTCCGGCCAGCGGTCCGCGTCGGGCACCCACCACGTCCTGGGCGGCAATACTTCGGCATACTCGAGCTTCCCGTCCGCGCCGCTGACGGCTCCCATCGACTTTAACCTGTCGCGCGCCTCGACGACGAGCGCGCTGCGGTCCGCCGCCGCCAACAACATGGCCTCGAGCAGCAGCAGCAGCAGCAACAGCAACAACAACAACACCGCCAGCGCCAACAGTAACAACAACAATAACAGCTCCGGCGTCGGCAGCAGCAACAACAACAACAACAGCGGCGGCCAGGACTACTCGATGCCGCAGATGAGCGCGCCCATCGCGCCGCCCGGCGACTTCTCGCAGGCCTTCCAGGCCCGGACGCCGATCCGCGACAGCTTCGGCGGCTCGGGCGCGACCATCCTGCACCCCCTGGGCGGGGGCGCCGGCAGCACGGCCGGGTCTGGGCCGGACGGCAGGGGGGCCGGCGAAGGCGAGTATCACCGACACCACCACGGCGGCCACGCCCACGCGCACCACCACCACCAGGAGGGCCCGAAACGAAAGCACAGCTTCAGCACCTCGGCTTCCGGGCCCGGCCCGGCCTTTGGAAGCGCGGCCTGATCGGACTGTTTTTTCTTGGGTTTGTCTCTCTCTCTCTCTTTTGGCTCCAGGCGGTGTGGAGCCTTTTTGTGAGTGAGCAAAACTTGAAAACGACAGCTGGGAGAAAGAAAAAGCATCGACATTAAATTATGAGGCGAGACGAGCCAACCACATCCGGCCAAAAAAAAAAGCCAACAAGGACCGCCCGAAAGGAGCCCAGCTTTTTTACATACCCTCTCCCGGCGGCTTTTGATACTGTTAGCCCTTCCCGACCCGGGACTGGCCCTGCCCACCCAGCGTCCGCCCTCCACGCCGGCCTTCTTGGAACCGGCGTGTATAACCTCACCCCAGAGGCTTTGCCTCGCATTCCGTCCCATCCTCGCTCTCTTCTTCTCCCGCGCACTCTTCCTGCGTCACCCTCACGACACATTGTCGTTTCTTTCCAAGGATTCCGTGTCACATTTTTCATCGTTTGCGCGGGGGAAAAAATGGGGAACATGGAGCTTGGCCTTCTTTTTTTTTTTTTTTTGCTTTTGGAATCCATGTACTCTTTTCCTGGTACTTTTGCTTGGCCGACTGACGGACTGTCTCATTTTTTGTATTTGTTCTGTGTTTGGCTTTTTTTTCTTTCCTTTTCCTCATGTCTTGGACGCCGCAAGTTTTTTCTTTCTTTTTTTTTGCCCGTTTCTATACAGGCGACGTTGGGAGCAAAGGGAAATGACTCAATGACTTTTTATTGAGAGATACCAAGTTCTACTCGCGAGGAGCAAAAAAAGACATGGCCGGTCTTCATTTTGGAGGAGTCGCCAGCCTGCTCTGCTAGGATTTCTTTTTTCTTCTTTTCCGTTCACAGCCGCTTCCTGCCTTGGCTACATACTCTTTTTTCCCCCTGCTTTTTGATTCCGTTATCACGATCGGTGCGTTTGGGTCACAGCTTTCTTCTCTCATAGTTTGGGTCTATCTGGTTCACATGGCGACAGGGGTGGGGAAATGGTGTCTGTCTCTCTGGTTGTATGCTTTCCACCTTTTTTTTTCCACTGGCGAGGTTCTTGTTGGTGGGGACATGTTGATACAAACGCGCGGCGCCACCCGTTCGTGCCCCAGCGGAAATGTCAGGAGATGTCTTGATGTGTCTGCAGCCTTTTCAACATCCTCGTCGGTGCCTTCTTGTGCTTCACTTTTATGTACATAGATTAACCAAAAAGAAACCGAACCTACCTACCTACCAACAACCTGGGAGCCTGTCCATCATGTGCGCATGCCTCCTCGGTCTTGGCTTCTTGGCTGGGTCGCGAGCTGAGGGGATTGAGGGGGATAGAGGACGGGGGATGGATGGGAAGCGGACGTTGGAAATCCCTCCCTCCCCCAGGTGAGTGAGCTAAGCTGCCAAGGCAAATCTGCATGGCGGGCAGTGTGTGGGGGGGCCAAAGGTGTGCTCCATGCGTCGCGCGCAATGACTTGAGGTTAAAGAGAGGATGGGACGAGGGAAGTGTAGGAGGAGACCCTGCCGTACTGTGTAAATGTAGTTCCCCTTCTTCTTTTTTCCATCCTCGCGTCAAGACTTGAGAGCAGCAACGCATCCACAGGAATGGACTGGAAAAAGGCAACCGGCGAGGTGATGTCGATTGGCACCGCACATCGGTCTTTTTCCTTTTTTTTTTATTGTTTGCTTTTTCGCGTTTTGCGCCACGGTTCCAGTAGGACGAGGTTTTTTGTTTTGTCTGATGGAAGATGGGCAAAGGACCCAAGGTGGAGAAACCTGGGGGGAGGCATAGACAAGAGATCGCTGCCCAACCGCAACAACACCAATCCCTGCCCCCCCTGTTCGAGAACCGACACCTGATGGGCGTCCCGAAGCGGCGCTGTCGGGGGTGGGGGGTGTCTCCGAGGTTTCTGGAAGAGGGCGGACTTGGCGGCAGCCGGGGCCGGCCGGCACACCAGGGAAAGGGGGTGTGGGAGAGTTATTGATGGCTTAGTTCAGCCCCACGGGACGTTTCTTTTGGGGTTGTTTTCCGTCCCTTTTTCTTCGTCTTCTTGTCTTCCTCACCGACACACGTATCTGCAAGTTTGCCAAAACGCTATCGTGACGCTGTTCCCAGGTCCTGCCCGCCTTTTTCTACTATTGTCTGCAAGATGGGGCAGATGGGCGGGTGTGGGGGCGTGCGTGGGGATGGAACGAGAACAGCTTGCAACTTTTAAAGGAGAAAAGAGCCGTTATAACTCTATTTCGTTCCCACCCCCACGTTTTGAGAAATGTATGTTTCGGTCTGCATGTTGGGTGTGCCGCAGGTCATACACGCTTGCCGAGCCGGACTGGCAGAGCAATAAAACACAACAAATTATATAAAGCAGAGTGCGCACTGATAGTGAGAAGGGGGTTGTGGATTGTGATGCACCCCCCTTCGTTTTCCAAGTCTCGCACCACCACCATCTCGGCAGCGTGGTTACCCTTCGCGCCTTCTTGTCCCCGGGGCACACATCCCGCCTTTCCGTGCGCTGTCAACGTCACAGACGCAAAAGGCCCACGTCCGTGCCATCCCCCCAAAATGGGAAAGTCGATTTTGCGTCTCGTGTGAGAAGGCACTTGTCCCGTGCGGCTCTTATGCTCCCCCTCTCTCTCCCCCCCGCGCATCGAGGACCATGCTGCCAAGACACGTCGCGTGACCCCACCCCCAGGGCCGCCGCGCAACAGAGCGGGCAGTTCCCCTCCTGTCATGTGTGGGTTGTCTTGCACACCACCCAGTTTTATCTCGGGTTTGAGGTTTAGGTGCATCTTCCTTCCCTAGCCATCCTCTCTCCATGCCTTCCGAGCGTGGGAGCTCAGCTGCTGCCCGGAAACTCAAACCTGCCACCAGCCCCCGCTTCGGCCGAGACTCGAGGTGCGGGCGGCGTCGAGGGAAAGTGCCGGCTGAGTGGATCCGCGTCCGACTCTCGTCCGATTTGGCTAGGCAAGGGAGAAGACAGGGATTTCGGGCGGAAAAGAAAAACGTGGGAGGTTCAGGTCTAGCACAGCGGTGAAAGGATGTGAGAGACACTTGGGAATTGGGGTGGAAACTGCATACTATCGGCTACGCAGCTACCAGATCTGCCAACACGTCTACCTTGAAGCCCATCGCCCACTGCCGCAATGTCCCGGGGGAGGAGGAGAGACCGAGGGACAGAGAGTGGGGGAGCCAAGGAAATATTGGCAACGGTCGACCGCCGTCCTGCCCTCCCCCGCGCCGCAGGGTCCGAGCCTGCCGGGCCCTGCGCTCAGCTGGCGCAGGTGCCGCCGCGGGGAGGGACAGAGGGGAACGGGGTGCGGTGCTGTTCAGGGACGGTTTGACCATTGGGGCTGAGACCGCCTTTCCTCGCGCACGGCTTTTTTTTCTTCGCTGCCACCTGTTTTGCACGCTCTCTCTCTCTCTCTCT